AGATATTTTTTAGAAAGATAAGAAGGGGTTGGGGGGAAGAGAAACATTGATAGGCTTCCTCTTGCATGCCCCATACTGGGGATCCGGCCTGCAACCCAGGCATGTTCCCTGACCAGGAATCGTCCCGTGACCTCCTGGTTCATAGGTCGAAGCTCAACCACTGAGCCATACTGGCCGGGCTTTTTCTTTTCAAAAACTAGAACATTTAAGGAATGGCTTTCACCAGTTAACTGCTACGATATTGTGAATTTAATTAAAAAAGATCCGCCACTTGTGTCATAGACGCTTATGGCATACAAATGGTTAAAACGGAACTTGCTTATCAATGTGGTGACGTCAAAGTCAAAAAGAGATCTTCTACCAAGCATGTCAAACTTGTGGCCCGCTGGCTGGGAGTTTGACATGCTTGCTCTAGACCAGGGGTGGGCAAACTTTTTGACTCAAGGGCCACAGTGGGTTCTTAAACTGGACCAGAGTGCTGGAACAAAAGCATGGATGGAGTGTTTGTGTGAACTAATAGAAATTCAAAGTAAACATCATTACATAAAAGGGTACGGTCTTTTTTTTTTTTTAGTTTTATTCATTTCAAACGGGCCGGATCCGGCCCGCGGGCCGTAGTTTGCCCACGGCTGCTCTAGACCCAGGGTCATTCTGCAGTATTCCCCCTTGCTTCCTTCCTGTCATGAACTGGCATAGACGGGGCCGGAGCTCAGACATCCCCGCTTCACAGAGATCCCGGGTCACCTCAAGAGTCTGCCGCTACCTTTAAGTGTTTCAGGAGTTCTCTTCCTAGTTCACAGTCCAAGGACATGGCGAACACAATGTGGAGAATAACGGTGCCTTCCACGTGACGAAGTTCACCTGACGGCACGGTAATCAGATCCAAGAGCCTGAAAGAGTCAACGGAAAAGTATGAAGAGACAGCAGGGCAGACGCCCCGATGAACAAGTGGACCAACGCGGGCTGAACTCAGGGTCGCTGGAGGAAGGCAGCAAGTACCGATTCCACCGCCTCGTTCTCTGCTCCCTTTTGCAACAAAACTTCCTGAAGTGTCTAGTCATTATTTCCACTTCTTTACCTCTTCCCAGTTAAATACAATTCATTTAGCCTCTGTCCCCTCCCAATTCTCACCCCCAATGCCACTGGCTAGTATTGCAAGGGTTCCAAACGATCCCTCTGCTGCCAAAACCAATCATCCAGTCCCATATTAACGCCTCAGCCAATTCCACACAGCCGACCACCTCTTTCTTGACATACTTTCTTCTCTGAGGTTTTGGGGCATTGTCACAGGCTTCTGATTTTTTTTTTTTTTTTTTGCTGGTTCACCCTCCATTCATTCATTCATTTAGTATTTTTATTGATTTCAGAGAGGAAGAGAGAGATAAAAAGATCAATGAGGAGAGAGAATCATGGATCGGCTGTCTCCTACACGTCTCACACTGGGGATCAAGCCCGGAACCCGGGCATGTGCCCTGACCGGGAATCGAACCGTGACCTCCTGGTTCCCAGGTGGATGCTCAACCACTGAGCCACACCAGCTGGGCTCACCCTCCTTTTAAATGGTGGGATGCCTCTGAGCTCAGCAGTGGGTTTCTTTCTCTTCTCCTCACACTTTCCCTAGGTGACCCCATCTGGTCCCTCCCAACCTCTATCTCCACTCTGGCCTCTCCCTGTAACACCAGGCTGCCTGCTAACCACCTCCGCGTGGAATGCTAACACACACCTCAATGCAACAGGGTCACGGCTGAGCTTATTTCTTCCAAAACCTATTTTTCTGTCAGTCTTTCCTGAGTAACAAGATCCCTTCGCAGCCAAATAACTACAAGTTACTCCAGAGCAGAGGCAGGAGGCTGCAACAGGACTAAGAGTGCGAATTCTAGCCCTGGCTGGGTAGCTCACTTGGTTACAGCATTGTCCCGATATACCAAGGTTGGGAGTTTGATCCCCAGCCAGGGCACATACAAGAAGCAACTAATGAATGCATAAATAAATGGAAGAATAAATGGATATTCTCTTTCTCTCTCTCTCAAATAAGTAAATTTAAAAAAGAAAGAAAAAAGAGTGAATTCTACAGCCAAGCTGCCTGGATTCAAACCCAGCCCTGGCTAGAGAATCTTGAGAAATTCCTCAAGTTATCGGTGCCTTGGTTTCCGCACCCAAAAGACAGAAACGAAATAAGGTTGTTGTGAGGTTTAAAGTGCTTAAACAGCACGTGGCACAGATAAGCACTTCCAAATATTTGCTGTAAAAAAATCCCTTTTCAGACATGCCGTGCTGTCTCCTGCCTTTGTACTGTTTCATTAACTTAAAATGTTCTTTTCCCTGATCTACATATTGTGGCTCTTACCATTCAGTGAAAACAGCAGCTTCTCAGAGAGGGCTCCCTGACCACCCAACACAATGCTGTGATGGTGGCTATGCTGCCTCTATCACATCATTCATCTGAGTTACATTCAATTTCCACTCTAATATTTTCCTCATTTTCATTTTTTTTTAAATATATTTTATTGATTTTTTACAGAGAGGAAGGAAGAGAGATAGAGAGTTAGAAACATCAATGAGAGAGAAACATCGATCAGCTGCCTCCTGCACATCTCCCACTAGGGATGTGCCGGCAACCCAGGTACATGCCCCTGACCGGAATCGAACCTGGGACCTTTCAGTCCGCAGGCCGACGCTCTATCCACTGAGCCAAACCGGTTTCAGCATTTTCCTCATTTTCGGTTCTCTTCTCACTAAAATTTAAGCTCCATGAGAGCAGGGCCTTGCCTGACTGAGTGGCTCACCGCTGTAGACCCAGGACCACACAGTTCCTGGCACAGAGGAGACACTTAATAATAAACAGCTTTTAAACTTACAACTTACAGAACAGTTACTGCTATTTTCCCAGAAAGGAGCAAATGAAGAGTTGAGGAGGCTGCACGGTCCTTTTAACTTTATTACTGGGCAGCGAGGAGAGGGTTAGAGAAGCTCTGGGCTCGGAGGTGAAGGCAGGGACCGGAAGGTTAGAGAACAGTGAAGTAACTACGATGCACAATGAGGAGATAGATCTGTAAAAGGGGTTTTGTTTCTAAACCGTATTACTCACTCGTCACCACTCTGTTCCTCTTTGTGCTGCTTATCTAGCTCGTTGAAGAACGCTATGATGCCTTCCAAAACCCTCTTTCTGCTCCCCTGAAAAAATACCAAACAGGCAAGATCAGCAAGTTGAACTTTTCAACTTAAAGGCTTCGCAAGGATAAATTTAAACACACAAATTACAACCTAGAGTCACAGTAAGAATTTATGAATACGGAATACTTTCATGTTAAAATTGGGTTTACAATACATCTTTTTAAAAAAAAATTTCCATTGAAACAGTCTAAGTGCCCATCAGCAGATGAGTGGATTAAAAAACTGGTACATCTACACAATGGAACACTACACCGCTATAAAAAAGGAACTTTTACCATTTGCAACAGCATGGATGAGCTGGAGAGCATTATGCTAAGCAGAATAAGCCAGTCGGAGAAAGATAAGTATCACGTGATCTCACTCATTTGTGGAATATATGAACAACACAGACTGATGAATAAAAATGGATCCAAAGACAGAGAAGCACCAAACAGACTGTCAAACCTCAGGGGGAAAGCAGGGGAAGGCAGGGCAGGAGAGGGGAGGGTTAGAGATCAACCAAAGGACTTGTATGCATGCATGTTAGCATAACCAATGGACACAGACACTGAGGCAGTGGGAGCTTGTCCTGGGGGGTGAGAGTGGACAGGGAGGGATCGATGGGGAAAAAGGAGACATATGTAATACTTTAAATCAGCGGTTGCCAACTAACTGGTGGTCTGTGAGGCCCAAAAGGTTGGTGACCGCTGCTTTAGCAATAAAGAAATTAATAAAAAAATAAAATAAAAAGATAAATAAAAATAAAGTTTCTATTGATTTTTTTTTTTAGAGGAAAGGAACAGAGAAATAAAAATATCTTTTTAAAAAAATGTTTTTATTGATTTCAGAGGGAGGGAGAGACAGAAACATCAATGATGAGAGAGAAATTGATCAGCTGCCTCCTGCACACCCCACACTGGGGATGGAGCCCACAACCCGGGCATGTGCTCTGACCAGGAATCGAACCATGACCTCTGTTCATGGGTTGACACTCAACCACTGAACCACACCGGCCGGGCTAAAAGACATCTTAATGCCAGACTTCAGGGGCCTATAGCCCACCCTTTCTGAGATCTGTATTCCTTTTCCTACCACACACCAAACACTCTGACAAGCTGTCTTCCCGGGCTGAGGAGCGGGACCTTTTTACTAGATCAAATCACCGAACAGGGCATGAAAGCAACCATGGCCTAGTACAGGGATGGCGAACCTATGACACACGTGTCAGGGGTAACACGCGAACTCATTTTTTGGTTGATTTTTCTTTGTTAAATGGCATTTAAATATATAAAATAAATACCAAAAATATAAATCTTTGTTTTACTATGGTTGCAAATATCAAAAAATTTCTATATGTGACACGGCACCAGAGTTAAGTGAGGGTTTTTCAAAATTCTGACACGCTGAGCTCAAAAGGTTCGCCATCACTGGCCTAGTAGGTACATCAGGGTAAGAATAAGCTGAAGGGCCCTGGCTGGACATCCCACTGGAGTTAAAAAAGAAACAATGCAGGTCGGCCGGTGTGGCTCAGTGGTTGAGCATCGACCTATGAACCAGGAGGTCACTAGTTTGATTCCCGGTCAGGGCACATTTCCGGGTTGTGGGCTCCATCCCCAGTGTGGGGCGTGCAGGAGACAGCCGATCCATGATTCTCTCTCATCACTGATGTTTCTCTCTCTCTCCCTCTCCTTTCCTCTCTGAAATCAATAAAAATATTAAGAGAAAAGGAACAATGCTGTCCTCCTACCTTTGAGGAGAGAATGAGCAGCTGGTAGACCAGAGGCGGTATTTCCTGCAGGTTCAGCTTGGAGAACATCTTGAACACTTTTTCCAGCACGAGTTCCATCTCTTCTGGAGTCAGAGGCACATCCCTGCGGATGAAAGATGCTAAGGGCCAGAGCCTAATCACGCCACAGCCTAATGGGGGAGACACTAGAATATTATAATGCCCCTCTGCATTTTCTCCAACAGAGAACCTTAAAGGAAACCAAGAGCCTTACCTAAGCACAGTCGCCTTGGAAAAAAATCATAAACTTATACTTTAAGAAAGCAAATAAAGCAAAAAAGAGAGTGTGGGGGCAAATCCTGTAACAGAAAATAGAGGTACCAACACTCTCACTGGGGAGAAAGTGGGTGTGAGCTGTTACATTTCAGCTGGTAGGAGGGGAGCTCACAGGCAGGACAGGAGGAGAAAAGGGCAGGACGATGCTTACTTGAACATGGAGGTGAGCTGAATCACGTATCGCTGATCCCATCTGGTTAAAGATAATGACGAAGAAGATGTAAGTTCACCGCATTTTAACTTATAAAATTAGGAAGGAGGGGGGAAAATTAGGGCCATTTCAGGTGTGATTTGGTACCACTGGGAAACAAGCTCAAAGAGATAACATGTAAAACCACGAAATACATGCTTTTAATCTAGCAGACTGGAAGTAATCGAAATCTGATGATATTCAATGCTGGTGAGTGTGGGAAAGAAACACTGCTCACCGGCTGTTTTAGGGAGTGTACACTGACACAGCCCTCCTGGGAAAACAAGACTCCCCGACTTTAAAAGTGCACATAATACTCGGGCGAGGATTTAAAAAAATATATATATATGTGTGTGTGTGTGTATGTATATATATAATTTATGAAGTGATCCCATGGTTAAGTCTAGTACACACTGCCACCATACATAATTATTAGAGTTTTATAGCTATATATTTTAAGCCTGTATTC